TCTATCTATCTATCTATCTATCTATCTATCTATCTATCTATCTATCTGGGTGTATGTCACACTTTGTGTGAGTTTTAGTCAAATTAGTTTTTTTTGGTGAAAATGCCTCTTCATGTGTGAGTGAGTGCTGGTCTGCAGAGGCTGGTGTGGAATCGAACCCAGCTGTGTCCTTACCTCCTAATCCAGCCTCTAAGGGTAATAAGCAGTTCCAATAAGAAGAAGTGGAGGGTGAGCAGGGGTTTCTTCCACAACACCAAGGATTCCCGCTCCTCCCTGTCTCTCTGCTTCCTCTCATCCAGCAGCACCTCTGAGTTTTGCCACACACACACGCACAAACACACACAGGAGGAAATAAAGACTTGCAGATACAACAAAAAGTTTTTAGAATTTTCTTTAAAGGCTTTTTTTTTTTAGCTTTTTGCACTTTTAACATTTTAAACAAATTGAAATATCTTGAACTCCTGAAGATCTGAGCTGCCTTTTTAAATTAACACCCCCTTTTTTTTATAAAACAGGACTTGTCAGAGGGGATAATAGAACCTTTAACCTTTATAATCCCTTCTCTGAGTTAGTTGGATCGTAAGAAGGTGGACTTGACTGTGTAAAGAATCCCCTTTACTCTCAGGTTGAAATGTAGCATCTGTTCTTAAAGTGTGTATTTGATCTATTACTCGGCTGTAGAGTACAGTTACCTGTCAGCTCCCCATTTTTCTGCTCCTTGATGGCATGACGCCTCTGAGGTAGCTCACTTTCGACCTCACACCCTGACATTCTGCTCATCTGTGGGGAGTCCTGCTGAGATAAGAGACCGGCCTTCAGCACAGCATCACGCGCACCGCTCGCCAAACCCATTCGACTCCAAAACAAATACAGACTCAGTTCTGACAACACACACATCCACCCCAAACACTCTCAAACTCCTGTGTATACACTCCCACACACCATCTGAGCAGCCTGTGTTTTTCTGCCCCTGTATCCTACATTTTACTGGGAACCTGATCAGGCCTGTGCACGACTTAATGAGCGCTTTAAGTAGCATATGCCATCCAAACTGTGAGAACCGGGTAATCTTTGGAGCTGGCCTTAGAAGTAGATACTGTATCCTAAGAAATTTAAAGGAATACACTGCACACTTTGTGTAGTGGAGGAGTTGGAGAGAATTTACAGATTTACTCCAAAATTCAGCAAGTAACAACGAACAACTTTATCTGGTTCAGTGTTTAACATGTCCGATCATAGAGTTCTACCTTAGGGAAAACAATAGATCTGAGCGGTAAGACATGATTAAACACTTTGTTTCCTTTGTTACGTTTACCTAGCGGAAGTGCCCTCAGGCCTGCGAGCGTCTCACTACAGAACCGCTGGTCTCTCAGGAATCTGACAGCGTGCAGTGAGACGGGCTTTCTGACACTGAGGTATGCAGCTCACCATCTGGTGGAACTGTCAGTTCCTCATGCAGAAATGCACACACACCGGGCTTAATTCCTCCTTCCTGTGCCCGATGTTTGGGCCTCTGGCTGCAGAGGTTCAACCCATGCGTTGGGATTTTTCCATGGGTTTTTTAGTCCAGCCCAAAAAGGTGTCAACAGCCAACCTGGAGGACACTCACAAACACAAAAATATGATCTCTAAACAAAGCGACTGCAAGCACGCCGCAGTCTTTTAAATGCAAACATCATGCAGAGGAAAATAAACATCTTAGACAACTAGATTGCAGGGCATTTAGAAAGCTCTATTCTGTTTTCTCCATGAACTGCAAACAAAATCTTTTCAACTCAGATTTGCAACCTCAAGGCCACACGCGTTCCACTTGCCCACAAGTGCTTAATATAACCTACAAATTGTTTTCCCTCGCTGCAGAGAAAACCAGATTGCACACAGAAAAAGTTCAGTAAAGCACGCTAATGTATAATATCCTATGAGCATCCTCCCCTCATGAAACTGGTGCCAGGCAGAGCAATTTGTGCAGAACAAGCACCTCAGCCGTAAGTGTACAACAGTTAATTGATGAGCCACAACAGCTAATTTGATCATTTGATTTGATTCGGGTGCGTTTCAATACAACCGGTGCCTTATAAACCATTTCATAACGCCACTTCAGCCTGTGTGAGACACAGTAGCACTGCACTGCTCCAGGACTCGATTGCGCAATCTTCCCCTCAAAAAAGAAAAGAAAAAAATAGAAAGAATCCAGACCTGTTGAGTAACTTCAGCACAAGGGACAATGTGAATCTCAACGCACGGCACATACACTTCAGGAGGTGAAATTTAATCAGCTGTAATCACTTCCAACGTTTTAAATAGAGCTAATTATGCTGCAGTAAAGAGAGAGTTTCAGTTTTCAAAGTGTAAAACTGAACTGGGCTGTTATTTGTTTAAGTAATGCATCATGCAGAGAGCAAACTCACCACTCAGTTGATGCTTATCCACAAGCTGCTCTGAACTCAAATAAAAGCCTGTGGTGGAGCCCCAGTGGTAATGTAGGGCAATAGTGTGCTACCCATGAACTGCATCATAACTGGAGTGCAGGGTGTGGTGATGAAGGGGGGCCAGAGAGGGATCGAGCACTGATACGGGGTGCCTGGGGGAGGAGGGTGAGGAGTCTGAGACACAGAAAGTAAGATAATTCAGTCATTTGCCCGGCAAAAGCCCACGAGGGCCAGTCTAATTAAAGGTCTATAAAGTGGATCACTTTCCTGGAGTGCACATCAAACTCTTCTCAGTCCTCCAAAGGTTTGACACAGACAGCAAATGAACGGCATTTGGGCAAAGAGAGCTCTGCCAATTCCCAAAATGACCATGGGACGTCACATTTTTCAGGTCAGAGCGGCAGAGGATCTCAGCTCTGCATCCACAGTGAGCACCATCAGAAGTCCCCCGATTTCGGGCTCTCTGTGCGTTTAACTGTTTGAAATGGTAAGGCGGCTGATATCTGTGGTGACCCCAGCCTCTGCGGTCTGTTCCACCGAACACAGATCAGTTGCAGCTCACTGGCTGCTGATCTGGGATATTGCTGCAGAGTGAAATTGTTAAGGTGTCAGAGGAGCGTTAGATGTAGAAGAGAATGAGTGAGAGTGCAAACTGAAGCAGACGTTTGCTTTAAGACTGCAGTACGCATGAACAAATGCTCAGCACCAACAACAAATCAAAGCCTGGAAATGAACATGTGAAGCTGTTCTTTTTATTGCTAATCTTTCTTTATGAATATCCAAGCAACAGGTTGGTTAATGTTTCAGTCTGAAAAAGCAAAGGCAAACATACATTCCCGCAGATTAAATCTATTTTTTCAGATATTTCTGAAAGTTCACCTCGTCTTGAGAAGAAGTGACTCCCCATGAACACTGAATTCTGCTGAGCACGGGCACATTTCTGCATGGCCGTCGAGTCTTTGAGGCTGTGCTGAAAATCCCATCATGCTTTGGCTGAGAGGTTGGGAACACAGCTTGGTTACATGATCATATACAACACTTCACATGTACGTGAACAGGAATAACTCCCTGCTCTCAGCTCTCCGCCGGCTGACGTCAGGCAGCCGTCTCACTTTACAGCAACAAATGCTCCGCGGCCTCGTCTGCAGGCTCCCTCTTGGCAGGTGAGATTTACGTCACGTAAACAGTGAGAATGTACTCGCTGGCTGCATACAGAGAGGACTTTCTGAACAGTAAACAAAGGAAAATTTACATCCATAATCATTTTACTGGTTGCATTAAAAGAAGAGCATGTTATACATGCAAACATGTTTACAACAGTTCTATTTCTGAGGTAAAATCCAAACTTAGCACAAGATAATCTTAAACTTTGGCTGTCAGAGGGAATAGCTGTATCATTTTTACATGGAAACGGGTCACATAAGAGAACAAATATATATATATATTTTTTTTAATCTTTGAGCAATATAAAAAAAGGGACACAGCTACTGCTATTGTTGAATAAATTATGTCTGTGATCACTTCCTCCTATCTTAACTCCAGCTTTGTCTGGGGGGAAGGTTTCTCCAGTAGAGAGCAGTGTAAGCTCAGAATTGAAGGCTGAGCCTTCCATGGTTGTTTTTGTTGCGGGAAGTGAGGTCCTTTTCAAAAGGCACCATAAACTGTTCCACATGAGCTGCTCAGAGGGCAGCGGTATTTGAGATGCTCATGTTTCATTGTGCAAAAACAAGTGAGTGTGAACACAATGTTCCCGCACACGAAAGGGTTCTGCTATAATTTGAGTAAAGGTTGAGGTATGATTTCAGGGGCTGATCCGTCTCTGTTTATCTTTGCTGGCTGTGTCTGAGGCTCCTTTGCAGTTTCATTCTTTCTTTTTTATAATCCGCACTCTGCTTCATTCCTCTGTAAATGACTCGTTAAAGCTGTGTGATGAGTTTGCTTTGCCAAAACCCCAAGAGTGCCACTGTCATTTGTTTCAAAATGACCGTTTTTATTTGCAGTGTAATCAGCATTATTAACAGCTGAATTGAGTTGTTTTATTACTACAGAATTATCTTTATGTGGATGCGAGCGGATATCTAGATTATGGTTAAATGTAAATTTTATTACACTGCATAACTCAATGGACTTCATCAGCATTTGTGTGTGTGTGTGTACTGGCCCAAAACTAAGGAGACATACTTCTTGGGTTATTTTTGAAGAGTCCTCTATGTTTCAGTGTTTTTTTGTTTTTTTTTAATCGAAGCTTGACCTAATGCATTGGGCCCATGAATGCATCCCGTCTGTTCTGCTACAGAATCCAGGCACTTATGACATAATTAAGAATGTGGGTTTGATGAGTCATTTTGGAATCCCTGCCGTCCAGTCACCAAGCACAAATTAGACTCTTGGACGTGATCAGGACAAATCTGAGCAGAGCACACTCCAGACAAAGCAAGGAGCACGATGGAAGAAACCGTTTTCATGAGCGAGGGAGACTCCAAAAGTTATGAAGAGGGAGACTTTGAGTAAGTGTGTGAGGGCCAAATTTTGATGGTTTTGTCTTCGTTTGGCTGATAAAGAAAGCTGTCAAAAGAACTTTCTCATTCTATTGACTTTTTCTACAGAAAAATGACAGAAATCAGTGAGAGATTCAACAAGTCCTTACAAATCTACAAAGAGAAGAAAGAGGTCTATAGCAAGTTGTGTGAGCATGGACTGAGAATTGAAGAGATGATTAATGAAATGGAAAATGAAAATAAGTCCTTGAGTAACAGAGTCAAAGAGTAAGATACCAAACCATACACGTAATATCTCGGTTCATTATCTTAGTTCATTTAAACCCAACCTCAGATGAACAGCAACACAGGTTGTTCGTGTGTGTGAAAAGGCTTAAAACACAAGTTTGTAGGATAACCTTTATGACAAGACGTTATCAGTTTCCATAACTAAAGAGGAATTTTGACCAGCTATTCATTGAATTTTGATTCACTGGTTTCAGTTAATCTCTATTAGGGCATTTAACAAATCATCTGACAATTTATGCATTAAATCAAATTCAAACTTATCAGTTTCAGGTCAATACATATAGCTCAATTTAACTGGGAGGCTGATTATAACGTGTATTTGTGTGTATATTCGCCAATACTAACAGGATGTAACCTGAGGGTTATCTGAGAACAGTTCTTTTCAAATCAGTTTAATTACATTTTCTGAAGTGAAAATTTCCTATCTTCTGTGTTCTTAATGTATGGTTTTGTCTCCAGCTTACAGCAACTTTTTGAAAATAAGAAACAAATGTGGGAAAAAAGAGATGAGACCATGTACCATGAATATTTGGCACTAGAACAAAAAGACCATTTAAACCAGTTAATCAAAATGGTAAGTGACTTGTAGCCGGGATGCGGCGGTTAGCTGATACCTAATGGGGTGCTGATTTCTTGGTTTGGTTTCATTTTAAAAGGAAGAAAAAATGGTTGTTGAAATTCAAAGACTAAAGGAAGACAGCGAACATCTCACTGCTGAGGTACAGCGAGAACAATTTGACCAACTTTAAGCTTTGAAAAGTAGAAAATACAAAACATGAACTGAAACGCAAGGAAAACAACCCCAAATGAAACTTCTTTTTCAGCTGGAAAAACTCATAAAAAAGAATCAAAGGGAAAAGCAGCAAATCCTAACAGCTGAGCAGGAAGTGAAGGTGACCTAAAAATGAAATAACACTATGTTGAAAAAGAGGCCAAAATTTCTAGGGAATTTGAGGTGGTGATGATTGTGATTTTAAGTAAAATAAAGCATAAAATTATGAAGAGTGTATGAAACCAGAAAGATATGATAGATTATTGAAAAATATTACACTCATGGTAGTCAGGTTTTGTTAAATTAATGATGATTTGTATATTTTTAGTGCCGAATTGAGGAGATTAATGATGCTCTGTGTAAACAAGAAACTGAAACTAAGATGGTAGGAACATCTACATCAAAACTTCCAGAGATAATGTCTCTGGATTGTCTCTGTACTTTACTTTGAAGATCACAGGTTTCGGTGCATTGCATTAATCATAGTGCTTTTCTGTCTGACAGCTAAAAAAGGCTGAGACTCGGAAAATAAAAATGATAGCGGAGATGTTTATGACTATTGAGGTGAGAACACCGTAGCTGTGTGTGTGTGTGAGAGAGTGCTCCTGCTGGTCTGTGACTTGTTTATTTCGCTCTGCAGTTTCTCAGAAAGAAAAAGCACGTCCAGCAGACACAGCTGGGTGACTTTGAGGAGGAGCAGATATTGTGAGTAGTGTTGAGTTAATCTCGTCCTGTGGCTGGTGACAACAAATTGTTTTAATGAATAACTCAACCTGGTAGCTTTGCTCACTACAATGAGCAAAGTCCCTTTTATCTTCTTTGTTTGACAGAGCTAAAGTGAAGTCTCAACAGCTGTCAGAGACCCAAAATTCAATGGTAAATATCTCCACATAAATACTTAACAAGTATGTCAGCAACATTGTACAACACTGCCCTAAATCAAGTTAAACATCTATAGAGATGGGCTCATTTTATTACTTTTTTGTAAAATGTACACGTTGAATTGAAAGCATATTCACTTTTCATATTACTGGATTATAGATCTGACTATTTGTTGTACTGAACTGAACATGTTGTGATCATTACTTTAGAGAAAAAAAAAAAGATTGAATAATTCCTCAAAGGCAGTTGCTGTTTGATAGAATCAGCCATCCAAAGTTTTCAAAGCCATGTATGTTCAGCGCACTACTAAGACTGTGGTATTCCAAACTTGGCAAACGAGGAAGGTCAAATCTTTAGCTGAAAATGTATGTTCCTTTTGCAGTGGCAAGAAGCCCTGAGGGCCTACATCTTAAAGAGGTGACACTTGTCTTTCATACAACAGAAAAAGAACCCAAAAACACGTTCTTACTCACAAATCTCCTTAACATTTTATTCTCTTTATTTTTAGCATGTCATACTTTGGAGAGAAGATTCTTGGTGCCATCCCGATTGCAATGACCCTGGCTGCTATCTGCAGCGTTTCCGAGCTTCCTGACAATATTTTCGCCATCATTTTTGAACTACTGGAGCCTTATGGAGAGATAAGTTACTCTGTTCCTCCTCCTTGTTGAAATTACAATAAAACCCAGGACACCGATTTAACCGCTGCAATGACAGGAAATGATGAGAAAATCAATCAATCAATCAATCAATCAATCAATCAATCAATCAATCAATCAATCAATCAATCAAAATGTATTTATATAGCACTTTACAACAACGAGCAGGTATCCTAAGTGCTTAACAAAATGAGTAAAATCACAGCACACATAGAAAGAGTGAACATAGAAAACAGTAAAATCAAAAAGGTTACAAAGAAACAAAATAATTAAATTGTCACACCACTGCTACGATGATAATAATCAAGAGAGCAACAGACTCAAATGTTAGCCCAACATATAAGACTTGGGGTGATAAGGCAGGATTAAGATTTGAAAATACCAGAATAATTTATGCTGCAAAAGAAAACATGAAAGGATCCCCCTCTGAACAAAACAATAAGAAGAGTAAGGTGAATGCAATTAAAGACCAACAAATGTGTGTCCGCATGGATGGATGGATAGATATTGGGTGACGTTAATAGCAAAAGAAGACAAAACCACGAAGAAGTAGTTGCACTATTTAGTAGTAGAAGAAGAACTTCACGTCATCAATAAGCGACAACGGACACATGAAACTTCATTCATGCCACCAAGATATCGAATAGGGAAGGTATGAAAATGGATTAATGTGTTTGTGTTATAGTTTTTCTGTCTTTTTTTAATAACATTTAAGTACGAAAATATCTGTACGTTCGTCTATTTGTGTATAGAGGAGGTTACACACGCATGTAGACTGGAAGCTAACTCTTGTTAGCCAATGAAGTCTAAGTTAACTGTTATTCGTTACAGAAATCGGTGAAACTGAGAAACTGAAATGCGTCATTAAGCTCAGGAACATTTTGTAAACACGAAAACTTACATTTGAAGCATTAAATCAAGTAAGAAAAATATTTGGACAGTTTGTAGATAATTTACCGAAATCTGATCGATTTATAACCGCTGAAGTATAGAATACATGATTTGACAGGTATTTTAAAAGTGGTGAAATAATGGAAGTCTCTTGGATTTTAAGTCTGGTTGCACAGTATCTAAAATGTTTATATCTTTCAGATTTGACAATATGGACTTGTTATACGGTCCTGTGGGCTTGGGTGTAGTAGCCGGGCTGGGCTGTGGACTCCTCCTCGGCTGGCACCTCCGGTCTCGATTTGGCTCCCCATCTAAAACCCTGATCACAGTGGTGGCAGACAGCAGCGGGGAAGCCAGTGTGATGGGAGAAGGGGGCGAGTTCAAGATGATCCTCGTGGTCCGAAACGACCTGAAGATGGGCAAAGGCAAGGTGGCCGCCCAGTGCTCCCATGCTGCTGTGTCTGCTTACAGGCAGGTTCAACGCAAGAACCCAGAGCTGCTCAAACAGTGGGAGTACTGTGGCCAGCCCAAAGTGGTGGTGAAAGCCCCCGATGAGGATGCCCTGATCGACCTGCTGGGTCATGCCAAAGAAGTGGGCCTCACCGTCAGCCTCATCCAGGATGCGGGAAGGACGCAGATCGCTCCGGGGTCACGCACGGTGCTGGGAATCGGCCCAGGCCCGGCCGACCTGATTGACAGTGTCACTGGAGACTTAAAGCTTTACTAGAGTTTCTGTTTTGTTCCTGTAAGCATCTGAATTCCCTTTCTGATGAAACTATTTTAATATAAACCAGGCTTGGCTGCCATCTGTCTTAGTTTGGTGCAGAATTCGGTTTGCTCCTGTAATAGAAATATATATTTTTATTTTCTAATTACCAATGGTCAATGTAAGTGCCACAAAAAGCCATAAAGCTGCAGATCTCACTCTGGTGGTCAGAGACAACGCATCTGATGAAAACTACCACGAGAGTAGTTGGATGCTTTGCATAAATAAAAATAATAAAGGCCATGTTGAATGACTTACAGTAGTGGAGCTTGTATGTACCTTTACATTAGAGCAATATGACCTACAACGTGACTAGTTACATTTTTGAGTATTTTTAGTCCTAAATGTACTTTGTTCCTATGCAAGTTCTCTCTAGATTTTTAACTGAAGTGCATTCACAAGTTGGGTGCACTTACAATATGAAATGTATTTTTACTTCATAAAAGAGAAAAAGGTCTGAACCTTTTTTCCTCAATATGTATTCAATCTGTTAACATCTGTTCCCAGATTTCCTGCCGATGATGCTCTTTATTCCTCAGATTTCTGCTGGAAGTTCTTGTAATAAAGGTGTCGTCTCCAAGCCCAACTCCTTGTTGCTGCACATGTTGGAATTCCTGAACAAGCAGAAAAATGGCTTCAGTAAGCCGTGTTTGATCATTGCAGACAGGCTGGTTTTCATGGAAACCAACTTGAATGCTTTTCTGACTTTCAGTCTCATCTTTATTCCCATTTTTTTCCTTAATCGCCTGAATGCTGCATCATGTGACCATCGGTAATTCAGTCTGAGCCAAACATGCTGCTTTACCTCCGTTACCAGCAGAGGGGGGTAGAACCATGGCTTCCTCAAACAAACACGGATTCCTTTGAACCACGAATTCCATTTGAAAATTATTTTCTTTGAGGTCCATAAAAAACACTGAATATAGAGATGTGACACCTCTGGTTTTAACTTGGTATTTTACATCAATAAAGCTTCTGACAGATCAGTTTTGCAGGTTAGAACATGGAAAACCAGCATTTCAAGTTGAGACAGCTCCTCTCTTTTCAGCTGATGTGTGCTTTCCAAAGAAAAGATTTGATGCTTTTCGGTTAGTTGCATCATCAGACCCTCAAGTAGAAAAATGGAACAATTAGTATAACACTGAAAGAATTCTTATTAATCCTACACTCATTTGAATACTAAATAGAATAGCTCTCATTTTGATTTTGGAGAGGGGTAAAAATGTTCCATTATCTTTTAAAGGGCCAATCACCTGCATTTACACCATTTAAAAAGGATCAAAATAGAAGTCGGGCTACCATGAAGCACAGTTCATTAAATAAATGTGTTTTAAGCAGAGTCCCAGTTCAAAGTTCCCCTAGCACTAGTCAAAGAGTTTAACTGGACCCTTTGAAGTGATTCTCTGAACAGACTCCAGAGTCTCTGCCCTGAAAATAAAGTTTGCAACAAGAACAGAGTCATTAAGATGAAATCACACAGTTCTTGACAAACAAGAAGCCTTTATTTTTAAGTGGTAAACAAAACCGCGGTTTCATTCATTATGATCCTGATTATGCACAATCAACTCTTGTAAGTGCACAATTTCAATCTAAGGTCATTTAGACAAGAATATAAGGAGTTAATGATTGATTTTCTGTATACACGCAAGCTTTTGATAAAAACTTCAAACCCCCACATGTGGTGCGCCGTCATTTTGGATTCGGATGAGCAGGTCAAAATGAGAAGTTAAACACAAGCCACAACAGGACATGATAAGACACAAAAATAAGAAAGCTCCTGCACACTCAGTGACCAAAATGATGCAAAAACGGGGTGTTAGCCCCACACAAACAGGCCTGCAGTCCCTCCTCAGGTCCCCTTCAGAGCACTATGTGAAGCATGTGGAAATGTTTTTTCTGGAAGAAAATTAGTCAGGAGAATTCTGCATAGGCTTTTCTGGGAAGGATCGAGCTTTCCTTTTAAATCGGATGGAATTTTTTCTCTTCAGCGAGCAAGCCCAAATAACACAGAGTGGGATTACGAGCAGGAAAACGTAGTGTTTCTGGGTCGTGGGCATGAGAGCGGCAGTCTGGCGCTGCGATACAAAAGAGCACAGTCGCAGTTTCTGGGCTGAATATACAATAATTAAATGCATTGTACAGTTGGACAGAAGAAGCTGCTCACACACAGGAAAGTTAGAGGTTTTACATTAATTTCTTCTCAACAGAGTGCAAAATCAGATGCTTCACAACAGACCTTTTTATCGTGGAAGAGATCTGGCTCTTCCCATTCCCCCCCCTCCCCACCCCCATTGTACATAAACCATTCTCCATTCAAATAAAATAGACATGAGAAAAATGTATCTAGTTATACGGAATGTGAGAAAATCAATCTTTCTGATTAAATCTTTTAATATTTTTGACAATAGAAATGGAGGTCCTTCATGACAGTTCAAAAAAAGAGGGGAAGTAGAAAAAAACAAACAAGTTTGTCGGCACCGCCTCCCCCTCCGTGTGGAGGGCAGAGAGGCGATCATGGTCTGGTGAAGGACTGTGGGAGATGGATGGATGGCGGCTCCAGCCTGGATGTGGAGAAAAGCGTTCTTTACATGCCGTAGCCGAAGCCTGGCTGAGCTGCTGGTGGGGCGTAGCCTGCGGGGGCCTGGTAGCCGTAGCCGTAGGCCTGCTGCGGGGGCACCGGCACGCTGGGGCCCGCCGTCAGCATGAGCTGGGGGGTCCCTGCAACACACACACAAACCCTTTTTAAACCAACAACTCAAAAGAATGTGCAGAGCAGATTGTAGATGGAAAGAGGAACAACTCAGTGACCCGGGTCAGAGAAGCCCTCTTAGGGCTTTTGGGCTGTTACTGAGCACATCCTACAGCACCAAATCGAAACTTCCCTCTGTCTTTCCTTAAACTGAATAAAGCCAAAAAGCCTCCTCTAAGAACCCTGCTCCTGCTGATACTGATCGCAGCAAACCGACATCGATGCCCCGCCGGGACTGTTACCGTAGACGATGGGTTGCGTCTCTGTTGCCTGCTCCTCTTCTTTTCTTAGGGACTCTGAGGTTTCAAGTTTATCTACCTGTAACCAAGGAAAACAATCACATTTAGAACAAAGGTCCAACTTTAAGAGGGAAAAATGAAAATATTTTCAATCAAACAACAAATGTGGGGATGATGTTTAGGGTCTTATCCTAAAGACCAGCTGGAGCAGTCTGACCCACACGGATCCAAACATCAGGGGCTGGTTTGGGATTTTAAACACACAGAAGCAACTGAAGACCGTGGCAAGCAAACAAAAAGGCCACCAGGAAAGTACACTTAAAGCATGCTGCCTGGGTCTCCACATGCACTCAACCAGAAGGGAACTACTTGTGGTTCTTAAACTACTGGTTTGTAAGGATATGCTCCCTAACTCCCTGCATGTGCATGATATGGTGACCGTAGAGTTCCAACTATTCACACTTTATAACTGAATAATTCAGTACCAACTCCAGATCCTTCCCACTATCTTCTCTGAAACCTTTCTCAAAGAATCAAATAAACCAACAGCTTGTTCAGGCAGCGATGGTCAGCATGTTCACATCCAGTCCTGTGTGGGGATGCAGGTTATTTCTCAGCACAAACATTCCTCATTCAGTGTGCTCATGCGTCTTCAGAGGGGCCTCCTCCTCAGGAGCCCAGCGGGCCCCGTGCCCCGTGCCCTGTGCGGGGCGCTGCAGAGCAGCGGCTCAGGAAGTCTTCAGCAGGAAGCCAGGCACAACAAACGGCCTGCTGCCGCCAGCAACAGCACACGTGATGGCACATGCATGCTGCAGTAAGCAGGCCGGGCCGAGCAGGGGATCCTGCTCAGGAACACGTAAAGCTCGAAGGAAGGAAATGCACTCTAAGTAGGTCGCACAAACACTACCGTTTCTATGAATGCTGAGGCATATCAATTATTCACATTCTCATTATCTCAAAGTCAAATGTTTGGCAGTAAAGCGGAAACTTATTGTTTAAAGTGCATTTTCTCCAGTTGGTGGACAGACAGTTTCCCTCCTCTGTTCTGCGCACAGATAGGTGGTTTCATCCCTTTCCTATATCTTGGGACATTTCAGCCTGACAGAGGCATCAGTGGCTGTTTGGCTCCAAGTGACAGAGCAATCTGTGGTACAACTAAAACCATGCACACTCCAGGCTGCAGTCTGTCGAGCTAAAGACCAAAAACAGCTTTAACTTTCACCTGCTCCTTAACTGCATCAACCTGGAAGAGAAGAGGTGCAGCACAGGAGAGCAGATGAACAGCAAATACTTCCCAATGAAGAAAACTAGCACATGTGGAAAGAAATGCCATTCAATACAACCCATCAGACTGAATTCTGGGTAAGGGGGTTCTGGGTTCCAAGCAGTTTACAGTTTTGAAATCAGGATGTCCTTATTTGGAACACTCGAGTACTTGAGTCGCATACAGCATGAAAAGGGAGGACCCACCTTTGAGAGGTACTCCCTCATGACCTGAATGAAGTATGGCATAGAAAAGTCCATGATGTTGTGCCTCCAGGAGGTCTCCAGCACCACGTCGGGCCGCAGAAGGTCGTAGCAGGTGAAAAGGCAGGCGGCGAAACACTCCTTCTTGTTCTCCAGCAGGAACCAGGAGAGCAGCTCCTCTGCCAGCTCCGTGTCTTTGGACTCTGAGGCGTACTGCATGGCATCCTGCCGGGAAAAAGAGCGCACAGACCGGCTCAAAACGAGACCACGCACTCAACTGACCCGCACTTTCTCCATAACTCGACATCCATTCAACACTGTAAAGTCATTCCAAGACAGACAGAAAAGGAGCACGGATTCTTCCAGGAAGCAGAAGCTGCACCTTGTAAAGCCGGTCCTTCTTGCAGAGCTCCACACTCTGTTTCCAGCGGTTGTTGCCTTTGAAGAGGTAGGCAGCGATCCTCCTGAACTCAATCAGCTCGTGTTTCTCCAAGCGCTGTGCCAGCGAGATGTTGTCAAAGTTGTCGTAGGCATCTATCGACGTCCTCAGTGCCTGACGGGAGGGACAAGACAGAGTCAAAGGAAAGCGCAGTAAAAAACAAAAAACAGCCACAAAAGACGGCCAAACTCACCTGATAGTCCTCCTCTGTGATGAAGAGGTTGTTAAGTGCTTCGTTGACGGATTTGTTGTTGTGGTTCTGTACTGAGCGTAGGTAGGGTTTGATCAGAGGGAGCTGTTTCACCTGTGAACACACATGCCAAGTGGTTATCTCGATTCAAACCCTCTCACAACACCGTCCTGGTGCTTCTGTGCCGGCGTGAGAACCATGCTCAGCTACCTTGCTGAAGAAGTTGACGGCACGTGAATGGTCCAGTCTGGGCGAGAGTACTATGAGCAAATCATTCAGTAACAGAGGCTTGAACTCCAGATAAAACTGGGTGGCTTTATAGTACAATTCCACATTAGCCACCTACAAAGAGCAGAGAGAGTTATTAACACAGGATAAAAAAAACAAAAAAAAAACACTCCAACACTTAAAGGCATACAACAAACTTCAGCTTGACTCAAATGAAAATGTACTTTGGTGATGATGTCTTTGAACTGGCCCTCCTTCCAGGCGTCTGTTGGGTGATTCATCATGGTGATGATGGCATTGTCGAACTCCTCGTACTTGTCGTACAGGAAGACCAGCTCGGCCCACAGATGAGCCTGCTCCGCTGCTCTCAGGACCTTTGGGATGTTGACTCTGGACCAGAAGAGCTCCAGATGTTCCCTCATCTTCTGAGGCTTGAACTTGGAGTAAAGGATGGCGAGCTCTGTGAACATCCCCATGTGGGCGCGCTCCAGCCCCAGAGCGGCCTCCAGCATGGTGATCAACTCCTCAAAGTAACCGCGGTCCTGAGACAGAAAGATGATGGCATGTTGTAAAACTTTGTCAATTCTTACAGTAAAATGTCTAAGAGTAAAGTAAAAAAAATAAAAAAAAGTAATTTGAAATCTGAGCAATCTTTGAAATAATCCGATGAGGCTTTCTTGCCTGGTAATAGTTGATCAGTTCCTCCAGTTCGTCAGCGTGCACCACGATGTGGAGGCCGCACATCTGAGCCAGTCTGAACTCCTGTCCGTCCACACAGGCGAAGCACACCTCCTTCCAGGTGCGGGTGCTGTTGGCCTTTCGGGCGCCATCCACAGCAGCCTGATACTCTCCCAGATGCACCAGCGTTGAAGCCAGGCGACCAAAGTTGGAGACGTTGTTGTAGAGCAGTTTAGCGGCCTCGTACATTTTCTCATCGTAGCAGCGGTCACCGACCTAAAAGATGTAAGCACAGTGAAGATGAAGAGCTTCCACTTTGCTCAAACAGTTCAGCCTGATGAGTGCTGTGTAAAAGACACCAACCTGTTGGATATGAGCATTATTGGGTCCATTGATGAACTCCTCAAGTTCAGCCAGGCGATTAGTTTTGGCCAAGGCAAAGATCAGCTCTGTCTCCACATAGGACTCGCGGGCCTTCTTACGAGCCATCTGCAGGAATTTGACCAAGTCCTCCCAGTTACCTGGAACACGTTGGTAGCAATGAGTTTACTTTGGACACAAAACCCATAGTTTTCCTGGCCTAATCCAGTTCATACTGATAGTGCACTGATCTTGAAAAAGTCTCCTTACCACTCTTATCTGCAGCCTGTACCACCTCCATGTATGCAGAGGGATCGTCAGCTTTGATGTAGGAGTCAATGGCCTCTTTAACCAGCTCCTTCTGCAGCTGAGCTTTGGCGAGCTGGCTCCACACAGCTGGCTCATTACAGCGCTCGGCAAATTCGTAGGCCCGGTCCAGGTTGCCGATGTGTTCTATCAGCACCTACGGAGAGAAAGCAACAACAGAAGACTGATTAAACCCTCTTCCACCAAGAGGGACAAAGCTAGCGGTGGAAAAGATGACAAACCTGCACAGCAGAGGTGTTGACGTCAAACTTCTTGAAGATGGCAAAGGCCTCCTCGAAGAGCTCATTGCTGATGGCGATGTTTGCGATATCGGGAGCGTCGTAGTTGTCGAGCCTGCTGATGTACTCCATCACGCGGGTGCGGTCAGCTTTGATGGCTGTCAGGATCAGCAGGTTCTGCAGATTTCTGGGTGACAAGAAATCAGAAGCCTGAGCACACTGTCCAGCTGTCTGTGTGCTACCAGGGTGACAGAAGGATGAAACGGGGGGCCAGCATGTGGGAGACAAATACCTGTGTTCACTGAAGACCGAGTTGTCCAAAACAATCTTCTCCAGCAGCTCAATGAGCTCATTGGGTAAGTCGGCGGTCATGAAGGCTTTGACGGTGACCGACACTTCCTCTGGGTCCTGGGTCTCGGACAGCGCTGTCTGCACGACCTGAAAACACAGACGCAGGCGACCCGAGGGGCTCAGAACAGCACTGGGCAGATGCATACGCAAAAAAGAAACCCATGGGTCCTTCAGGGGGACTGTACCTGGTCAATGAGCGGCCGTCTGAAGGGGTTGCTCTCCAGCAGCACGCTAGCCCACAGCTCCGGGTCTTTGCGTCGGACGAGGTAGCGAGACAGACTCTTGAAGAGGGAGTTCTCATTGCAAACCTGATTGGATGAGGACAAAATTAAGAACGCTGCCCGCTACACAAAGAGCAGATGGAGCATGTGAGCTCAGGGTGTGTGGGCATCCTCACATTGATCAGCTCCTGGTCGCACTGCCCTCGCTCATAAGCCACGCAGGCCAGATGAGGGTCCCTCTTCTCGCAGTACTTTCCCACGACACGGCTGTCATAGTAAGGGTTCTCCCGCAGGAAGCGTTCAGGGTTGTTATTGCTGTCAATGTAGATTTTCGCGAGTGCATTGTGGGTAGCTGGCTCTTCACATCCTTCATGGATACGAGACTCCAGCCAGGGCAGCAGCAACTTCAGTCTGAAAGAAAAGAGAAGCCAGGACACATCAGGCGAATGCTAGATTGTGTTCTTTAGAGTCCTCTAATTCATATAGATAAAAAATTATTAAAAAACTATATATAAAGACACAACAAGTGATCTGTGTAAGCAAAAGAAGTTTCACATAAATGCTGCTAGAACATCAAAAGAGCACAATTTGAAGAAAAGCACCTGTTCCTCTTTTCCACCTCAGCAACCAGCTCATCGGTGGAGAACTGTCCCCTGACAACTAAGATGAGGCTCTTGATGACATCCTCAGAGCAGTCCACATCCAAAAGACCGCCAACCACAACAGGCAGACGGCTCGGATTCACCTAAAACAAACGTTTTACAACATGTGTAAAGCAAGAATATGGTGCAACACTAAGGGTGAAAGCTTTCTATAAAAAGTGACTGTATATTTAAAACATTCCATCATCATTTGAGAGGAGTACTGAGTTCCCCACCCTTAAAAATGATCTTAATGGGCCATCACTACTTACCTTCTGGACATAAATCTCAATGTACTTCTGCAGGTTGTTGCGGTACAGGTAGAGGACCAGATCATGGACAAAGTCAAAACGATCACAGACAATGATGAGTGGCAGTTGGTCGGTAAGTTTGGCTTCCTGTGTGTCACACGGAGTGAGGAAAGAAAAAAACAAACAGAAAATTACTTGAACCGGCAGGGAAAGTCCAATACAACCCCTGTGATTTCAAGCTCGACTTCCTTGACTTCTTGTTCACATAAGAAGAAATGATAAAGAAATTCAATAAAAAGCAGATAAAGAACCAAACCATTCAAAGTGAATGAGGAAAAATGCAACACCTCACAACTGTCAGGCCACAGGGTGGACATGTAGAACATAGTTGGGGCAACTTACTGTGAAGTTAAATAACAAAAGCAGGTCATAAACTGCTAGCACAACATCTGACGGAAAGCTGCCGGTTTTCAGAGCATTAAAAAGGCAGAGACAATCACAAGCCCCATGTTGCACAAAGGACTGGGGTGCTGATGCCCTACTGCCTTCCACAGGATAACCAAACTGGGATTGTACTCCATTACACAGGAACATGCTGAACTAACCACAAATTTACTTTCAAAAGACTACACACAGCACACACACTAAAATACAGGAACCTTTTTTACAGTAATAACACACAAAACAATGATTTACTTGAACTGCAGGTGTAAGAATTTGTACATAAATACATATATGTATCAATACAAATCCCAGTTTCTATCCCATGTTCAAAGTTGAGGGGGTAAGAAAATGGAAAGAAAACATCATAAAATGGGAAAAGATAAGTCACTGTAGGGAGGTAGAGATTTACCTTATACATGTCCTGCCATTAAAAAAAGAAGAAAAAAATAGAGGAAAGCACAAAAATAATTTACTGCTATCGGGATCGTTACTACAACATTTAAAGCCATTGCAGACAATCAGCTGGGCTCAGTTCTCAATTCATGGTCGTAATCCTTTTCATGTAGAAAAGGTCAAACATATATGCGACCTAAAAGCCTCACAAGCACAAGAATGATTTTTTTTTTTTTTTTTTTTTTTTTTTTTAAAGGCCAGACACACAAATAGATAATAAAATCAAGGATAAAAAGAACTTTGTGGCTTTACCTTCAGGAAGTTCTTGACTCGCTCAGGGTCGTAGCAGTTGCTTTCCCGACAGATCCTCTCCACCTCTTTGATTTGGCCCGTCTTGCACGCAGCCTGAATGTATTTGAAGTGAACTTCAGGATCCTGACTGAAGTTTACAATAGAGCCCAGGAAGTAGAACAAACCTGAGGGACACAAAAGCCGGTTTTCATACAACATTTGTGTTTACAGGCAACCTTTATTCAATGACTTGATAAAATAATACATCCTGAAAAGGTCACACATCCATTAAAGTATTGCCCCACATCTGGTTTTTCCCTTCCTCTTAATTAGCTAATTTAACTTCAACTCCATTATTCTAACAAGAAGTCCCCCTCCAGGTATCAGAGAAACTGTGCAACTCATAACTGTAGTCAAAATGGTCTTAAGTGAACTGCTGTAGCAGGCATCTCTAAAAATCTCTAATTCTAAGGGAAGTGGGCTTAATGTGCTGATAAACTTAGGTATGTCAGAGTCTGGCCTCTTACCTTCAAAGCTCTTAAAGGATTCAAAGAGTTCAGTGAGAGCCTGTGTGGTGAGCTGTTCATGGTACTTGGAGGCCACCTGGACACAGATCTGCAGATTCTGGCGGATGTTGGCTGAGAGCATGGCCCTGAGGCACTCCAGAGAATCTTCAACCGAAAGTGAACCAAAGTAGTTCACCAGCCACTGCAAGATGGAGAAGTAACACCATTAATTTATGCTTTATTCAATCTAGAATTACATCATTCGAAATATCACTGTGACAAAAAAAAAAAAGAGAAAGAAAAAGGAGAGGCTGCATCTAGCTTTAATGTTTGGTTATTGTTTCCTCAGACATTTTAAACAAACTAAATCTTTACAGAAAGTTTGAGCACATCTGTCAGTCAGTAAGGGGAAGCCCACCTCAGGGTTAAGCAGGTGTGTGTGCACCACAGCGCGCTTGATGTCATACAGGTCTGTGTAGTGCTCCAGCGCTCTCTGCAGGAGTCCAGCCTTCTCACACAGCTGAGCAATGTGGGCACGGTCGTAGTTGGTGAACATTTGATTGCCAAGGATAGCATCAGCGACCTGAATCCAGAATAAAAACCATGGAAATAATTAAATCCGGAAAGAAAATAAAAAAAACTAATCAATAATTAACCAGACTCCATTTTGTACAGACAGTGAAGACTGATCCACCTGTGGAGCGTGCATGAGGTTCATTTCCAACAGACGAGTCTGTAATGGCCCCTCTGAGGGTCTGTTGTTCTTTAGAGCATCGAGGAGGAAAGACGTGCACTGCTGGATCAGGTTGTACTCCATGAATACATCCACGATCTAAAAATACAGAAAAATGTAAAAGAGAAGTTAAAATTTCCACAGAGACGAATGACATTACCTCTGTAGCTCTTAAAAATGAAAGAATTAAAGAAAAGTCACCAATAGCGAAATGGTTACACTACAACAAAGGTCAGCACCCCTCCAGCAATATTGTTTAAATGGGAAATGTTTCAAAAGTTGGCCAAAGATTCTGGACCCCCTGTAAGCTGACCTCTAGCTGCCACACTCAGCAGCCACAGCACATGACATCAATGCTACTGGAAACTTAGCTCAGAAGCACATCACAGACATGCAAACACAAAGTTCTCGGGTTCAAAAACTTCAGCAATTCTGGTATTTGTCCTGTTCAATAAAATGCTTTGTTTTTAATGGTGCAAATTGTATCATCCTCCTTGAATGTTAAGTAAGTAAAATCAGTCAGAATTTACATTTAACTGCATGGTTGTATTTACTTCAGTTGTATGCTTAAAACTTTAAAAAAGGAGGGCTGAATAAAACTTATATTGAGCTCCGATGAGAGTAAACTTTTTAGTAAAATCCTCGTCTGCCAGTTCAGCACTTTAGACAACATGAAAAGCTCAGTCAGCAGTTGACAAATGCATTCCAAAGATTTGGCAGTGGGTCGGAAGTACAGGAAGAGTTGATTTCCTTATACAACAGGATATCTGTTAGCTGCAGTAGTCAGCTTACGCTGAGACTTTTTTTTTTTTTACCCACTTCAAGAGCTATAAAGTTTACTAGTTAACTAGGATCTGATGGTGTTGGTATTTAGTATCAAATGTCAAACTTTACTTCAAAAACATCACAAAAACCAAATGGGTGGTATAAAAAAAAAAAAAAAGTTCTTAAGAGTAAAGGTGTCGTGTCAAATATTCCTCCAGTTTTATTCTGACCTGCGTGATGTCAGCCAATGGCTCTTCATCCTGGACCAGCATCTGTGCAAACTGCAGACCTTGTTCTGGGTTTATTCGCATCACATTCCTGAGCAGGAAGATCCAGTCTGGAGTGTAGCCCACCTGGAATACACACAGATGAACAGTACGAGTTACAATGGTGTTTACAGACATGGTAAATAATAAAAACAGACAAAGCACTGTATGGTACCTTCTTGGCATACAGGACAATCTTGGGGAACTGCCCAGTCTCTGCAAAGCACTGAATGACCTTGTTGGGAACGTTGGCCCTCAGGTACACACTTAGAGCCAATGTGGGATCCACTGCCTTCACGAGGTCACCCAGTTCCTCCGAACACTCCAGCTGAAATGAAGCAGCATTTACATTAGCACTCAAGAGACCTTAAAAACATTTAAGAAGAAAACTATAGTTTTCTCTACAACAAAAGGAATCAGATTTTGTTTGTTGACCTTTTAATGTTTTGTTTTTGGTCACTATCAAATCTAAATTCACTTCAATCCTAAATCTACAAGTAACTTTGAAAACTGTGCAAACATCCATCTTAGATAAACTCTGTTTCAAAAGGAAGTGGTTAAATTCCTGGAATATCAGATGTTCTCTGTAATCCACAACAATAACTAAGGCATGTAAACAACGCCTCAGCTCAGGAAGTGCCTCTGCGTGAGTGGAGGGAAAGATAAACGTGACGAGTACCTTATCCTCCTTCAGCCACTTCTCCAGAAGCTGCTTTCGCCCCTGCTGAAGAACGGGCCTGCAGAGCTCCAGGGACTCAAATTTGTTGAGCTGGCCCTGGTCCAACAGGATACCAAAGTACTGCAGTAAGGGAGAGGTCTGGCCTGGCTGAGTGGGAACGCTTTGGAAGCGGCGAATGGTGTCTGGTGTGCGCAGGATCCCCTGAGTGAGGAAGATTTATTTGAAAGTTAAGAGGGATATAAAAGCCAATACTGGTGGTAGGAGGTAAACTAATGGCAACTCATCAACATGTACTCAAACAACAAAACAGTCTTCTAAAAGCCCTGACAAACTGATGGTAAGGTGTTACTGGTCTCTTTGCACAAAGAAAGAGTACCTTTGGTGCATTTGCAGCAACTTTGGCAGCTTCTGAGTAGTTACCAGCTGCAAACAGGTTGTTGAACTTGCGTGCAAAGAGCTCTTCAGCCCCTGCAAGGTTGTTTCGGACGGCCAGCCGGAGAGCAAGATCTGGATTCTGGAGCACGTTGTTGATGTATGGAATGATGTTTTCCTCCTCCACACAGACAGACAGAACCTGTGTCAACAGAAAATGTGAGAACTAACATGAGAGAAGCAAAGGCTGAAACCTGGATGTAGTTATTTCATCCCCCTTCTGCTGCTGGCTCTCCTTTATGAAGAAAGTCCTGGACAGAGTTACGACTGGACAGAATCCAATTCAACCCAATTCTCCCCATTAAGGAACACATGTGCATCTTAAAGTACTACTACCAACATCTAACTTTATGAGCCTCTATCAGAATCTCAAATTCTAAAATAAGGTTTGTCATTTTACTAAGAGGAAGAGGAATAATCATTACGTCTTGAATTTAATTATATCTTGGATGTAATGATTATTGGCTTATAAACAAATAATTTCATATTGCACCAGAAACCAGCTCGCTCAGAAGAGCAGAACTGAGAGCAGCATCCAACACCACCGACAGTTTTCTAGCCTTAGGATTTGGAGGCTGAATGCAAATGTTATCTCAGTGGGTAAGTGTAACACAGGGCTTTAGGGGGTAGTCTGGCAACCAAGAGAAAGGGAGTCAAATGAAAAGAGCAGGATGGAGGAAAAGGAAGGGGGGTCTAAAGGAGAAAGACAGCCAGTGTTGGCCCCTCTACAAACAAGCCCAGCTGCTCAGTGCCCTGGCTTTTATGTCTTCAGGGTCACTTACTTTATATGTGAGCACAAATTGGTCGTAGCTGAAATAAATGGGTAGAACTAGTTTGTTTGGGTGCTGCTGGAAGAGATTCTTTATTCTGATCAAAGCCTGACATTTTCTGACAAAATACCAATCAAAGAAATCTTGAGCAAAGACTAGAGTAACAACATGGCATTATCATCTTGATGGGAGAGAAGAAAAAAAAAACCTGCCTTAACAACTTAAGACAGCAGCAAGTATCAGATGACACATGAGCTGCAGTATCAGGTGCTTCACTGACCCAGACACAAACGTGCACAAAAAACCGTGAAGGCTCGTCACAGGCTACTGCTATCCTGATGACGTGGAAATAAAGGAGGGGAATGAGGGGAGTGGAGGACCTGCACTAAGAGGATTGAGGGCACCAGGCTGTGCCTCCCACAACATGTCATGTGTTGTGGGCCCTTCCCCCTTTCTGTGACCTTTGATTTCACTATTTTTAAACTTCAGTTCACGTCTGATTTTTGTGGAACTAGTTGCATCTTTCTGCCCTGTAACAAGCCCACTGTAACACTGTTGTATTATTGATCTTTCTCTATTGATGAAAGAAACAAACACCCTGTAGTTAACTATGGTTCAGCAATGACACAGCAATGTGTTTCCCAATGTTAACTTCAGTCCTAACATAAATATTCAACTCCGCCCTATTTGTGAAGTCCAAAGAGAAAACATATCAGACAATGGATTATAATTCCTTCCCAATAGCCATTTGTTTGGTTATCTTCATGAGTCTAAAATAAATGCACCAAGCATTGCTGCGACATATTATTAGGTATCAGGTTACTAATTCTATTGGTAACTAACCCACATTACTGGCACCACTGAGGGACCTTGTGAGAAGCCCATTATCTCTCAGATCACTGCATCTGTATACGTGTATACACACACACACACACACACACACACACACACACACACACACTTGACTGTTCCAACGTACAGCGGGCTCACGGCTCAGATCAGCTTTCCTCTCTTTACTCAATAATTCATATGTGGCCTGGCTGGAACATTATTCATCAGCTGGCTGTATCCAGTTAGCCTCTTCTCCTGTTCAAATTCACAAAAACACCAAGACAACCCTCTCCTCTTCACTAAACTGCGAGGAACACTACACCCTAGAGTATTCAGAATGTCTCCTGGCAGGGTCTGAGTTTGTCAGATGATGGCAAACACCACACAAACCACAACTTCTGATGTTGGAATGGTGATACTGTAACAGCAGTTGCTCTGTCAAAGATATCTGACAGACTTTAAAAAGACTAATCGTTGTGGCATTAACAGAGCCAGGCAGCCAAAATTACCTACATATATACAATTTCCAAAAACAGTTTGGATGGGCAGTGGCTGGTCATCTCACCTGTCCCTTTCTGTTGACCCCAATGATGCCTGAGGTGGCCTCATGAGGAGCCGTGACAAAGATGGTCTCTCCACTGATGCGGTTCATGTAAATGCAGGTTCCTGTCTCCAAGTCATACAGGTGGATGTAGCCATATTTGGTAATGAGGAAAACCACATCATGCTTAGCGCTTATCTGTCAATATAGAAAATACACAGTTTCAAATTGTTTCAAAAGAGGTAAATAGTTTCAATGAAATAATGAAAAAAGACCATTCACTGACAACTATAAGAAAGGGTCTGCACAGGAATATTGAGGATAGTGAATTTGCCCATGTGTCAAATGTTCTAAATTGCAAAAACATGCCTGCATGGCCACAGGAAAGTCATTCAGGGCCTCTGGAGGAAAGAAGACATCCACAGCTTTTTTGGGAAACGGTTGGTTACCAGTTGGTGGGGTTCCGACTTCAATGATGTGCAACTGGGTCAAAGAATAATAATATAACAGGTGAAAAGAGCCTCAACATACACTTCCTACAATGCCAATGACATAAAGTCAGTTCAGCCAATAATGTTATTGAATCAGTCACCTTCCCTCCAGCCTGGCCTCTGACGGCAAAGCAGAACAAAGTCGACTCCTCTGAATTTCCCTCCATCTTAAACTGAGCAAAGCTGGCAGCATGGCCTTCAATGGGCTGAGAAACCTTTCTGTCAACAGAATACAGCTGCATGGCTCCCACCACTCGATTTTGCTGAAAAACACAGAAAAAACAAAACATGTTTCCAACGGTGAAGAAACAAATTATGTTTATGCATTTAGCAGAAACATTCTTCTATACTTTTGTTTTCATTATCTCATCACTGACCTCAAAACACCCTCAATAAAATTACCTGAGCAGAGATACCAATGAGCAGCAGCCACTTTTGCTTGGCGTCTGTGCGGTAGTTGATGATCTGACAGCCTGCCAAGCTGGAGTGCCGATCAAAGACTTTCACAGGCTGCGAGTCACCCTCCATGCTCCAATGGTACACGGCATTGTCGGTGACAAGTGCGACTGTGTTGAGGGAGATCCACTTCCAGAAGGTAACGTCGTCCGTCATGGTGTGTGCCTTCATCTTGCTCTTCATCTCAATATTAAAGATCTGAAGGGTTTTGGCCGCTGAAGGGAAAAGAATGAAGCAGGAACCAGGCCAAAGGGGAGTGTTATATTTACCAACAGGATCGTCTCCCCACAAGACACATTCAAGAGAAAATGCAATCACCCAAATTAACATGACACCGTAAATTTAAACTGAAATGTAATTTTGTAACAAATCCAAACTCAAAATGAAGGAGATGCTGAACATGCTGCAGCTGGAAGCCTCACCAGGTGTAGTGACAGTAGTATGGAAAGGAGGTGAAATTAATTTAAGCTTGAAGAGTGACGACACAAAGTGTGTGATTGTGTCAATCATGTGAACTTGACCCAATTAAACATTTGATCCTCAAAACTATGTTTTCTCTAAGGTTCAGGGAGTAAACTAGATGGATAGAGCTTCACAGCCTTTTCATTATTATTTACTTAGCATTTTAAATATGTTTAACATATGCATTCAGTAACCTGTGCATGAGGCAAACCCCGTAACACAAATAACCTTCATAGAGGGAAGCAAAGCAGAGGTTCGAGGCTAAAAACATAACGGGAAGATTTAAACTGGGAGGTTAAAGGGAACAGACACCATCTTCCACACGGATTATGGTTAACTATCTAAAGTTATATCAAGTTCTGTTTTTTTAATGTCTGGGCAGTGACCAAATGTTAAAAAAGAGGGTTCACTCACCTGCAATTTCTGTTTTATTAGTTTGGGTTAATTTAATGAGCTACAGCTTTATTAAGAAGCAATGCGACTTTCTTTTACAGTCATTATTCGATACCCATCGACAATGTAAGGAATAAGCAAAGAAAAATGTGTTAGCACGACCATCATGATCATTTAACATCACTGAGCCACGGGATCAAAGTACGATCAGACGTGTGGTGAATGGACCAGCAGCAGCAGCCAAATTTCAGAGCAAGCAAAAGGGATTTTTAAGTCAGTCATGATTAGCAGTCGAGGGTGTGCATGCATACTGTCCCCCTTCCTTATGACGTGGTTAAATTAAAGGCTACGGTTCATACTGTGTTGGATGGCGAGGTCGACAGACGAATCATTACACCGTTTTAAAGAAAGAAGACAGCGAGTGGAAACAGAGAGAAAGGGTCTATGCTGATATTACACTGGCTAATAATAAAGGGACAGGGAGGATCAACAACCTGAATCACCAACCCGACTCACTGATTATGAAAAATGTGCATAACTTGAATGCTGTCATGTATGTATAATGTAATGTTTAGGGAACCTGTTTGAACCCACCTGAAACATCTGCCAAATTGGTTAATCATAATTACCGCAGTTTAATCTCCAACAATGGCCTACTCCACATTACTTTCTCTTAATTTGATTGTAAAACAATCAAATTACTTTTACCTAGCTTTGTTAAATACATTTGCTTAAAATAACTACGCTTCTAAACAATGACTCACATATGGTAAATTAAATGGAATACATAATTTATCTTTGTAAGAAACATATGTTCCACAGTATAAGCTTTTTGTCTTTTAGACAATGTTATTTTATGGTTAAATAGGTTAAAGGGCGAGGTGGGCTCGTGAGGCTGGTAGGTTCTTTAATCTACACGAATTCAAATGTTTTTTCATTATCAAAAGTGACAAAATGTCAATATATCTGGTGAGTTTAATATCCAATCAAAAAGAGGCACACAACCTTGACTACGGTTTGTTTCTCATGGTGTCAACTCACTATACGAGAGCATTTATAATAATATATCCCATTAGCACCATTACAAAACAAATCCTCGATGCTGTCAAATGGCATAGAAGTCCCCACAAATTTAAACAAAAGCCCATTTTTTCTCTGCATCCTCACAGCTTAGAAACTCAGATTTAAAAAAAATAGATGTTCCAGGACGTGCTGAAATAATTCACAAATATAAAGCACATATCAAGGAAAAACTAAATCAAGATTTGAGAAATTATAACTTCATATAGATAAAAGAGCATGTGGATGTGAATTAAAATGAATTTCGAACCCATGGTGTCACCACATGAACAGGTTCTTAATCACTTACATGTACAATAAAAATGATGAAATGCCAGCAAGCTGTAAGGTTGTGAAAGCTAAATCCTGTTTATAAAGATACATTTTAATTACATGGATATGGAAAAGTTTTCCATATCCAAAAATTTACAGAAACTTTTTAAATGTGGAGAAACAGTGTGTCAAAATTGACAAATTTTGTGTGTCAAAATTGGCAAATAGAGAGATAGAACTAAGAGCACATTAATTTGCTCACCGATACCATACTTTAAAACAGGATTTTCCTTCCACAAATAGTAGTATAAATTCCAACTCACCGTCTGCAAACATAAGAAAGCAGTAAAGGGAAAAAAAACAAAGAACATAGAAAAGACAAAAACAAAAACAACAACAAAAAGTCAAAGCAGTCATGGATGCTGGACAACAGAATAAAAAACTAGCTATCCTGCATATCTATGAGACAAATGTTTTTGCATGCTGGCCAAGAAGATCTATTTCACAGAAGAAAACTGAAATACCTGGATGTACAGGGACATTAAAATTATACAAATCCAAAAATATCTTTTACTACTATATGGATAAAGCTATAATGAACATGTTAGACCCAAACAAAAAGTTAGTAAAGTTTAAAGTTTACACTTTAATCCTGTTAGTATATTTCTCTCTATGCCACATTAATAAAATGCAGTCTCAATAAAGGAAATACATTGCCTTACCTTTGAGTGCAATGACCTTGCTGGCTGGATTCATGATGGCGCTATCGGCTGAGATAGGCCTGCGGATCGGTGTGTTGGGGTCGCCCAAATCGATGATCACGACCTGAGACTGCTCACCAACTTTCTCCCGGACACAGATGAACTTGTCTGACTCCATAGTTAGAGTGCTGAAGCCGATGTTGGCTGGATTGATGCCCAGGTTTTGGAGCTAGTACAGACAGCGAAAAAGGGTGAGAGACGTGTTAAAATGAAAAGAAGTTGGCTGCAAAAGTTTAATTGAGATCAGTTCCAAAATGAGTATATGACAGTGCTGACATACATTTCTAGCACAAAAGCAGCCACAATAATTAGAGAGCTGAACTGTGTAGTGAGCAACCCAAAACCAAGTTTAAAAAACCATGAGAAATTGGGGAACCACTTTAACCAGCATTGAAACAGCAAATCATGCACTTAAGAACAGTGACTAATCTATGTATTGCACAGAAAAATGATCAGAAAACGGCTAAAAGCAATCTTGTCGTTAAGCAATTCGGAAGGAAATTAAACTACAAAAGACTCTTCCCCTGTTACTTTCACTCACTTTGCGACCTACTAATAAGATGCCACATTTGTAAAACTATTCTAGCAAAATGCAAGCTGAGCATAATCTCCTTCTAAAACCTGTGAAAGTTGCTGTTTGACCAGAGGGTAGACATCTCTTCTGAACCATTTATTCACCAGTAAACTGAAAAAAATACCTAATTTTTCCTATGCAGAGGTATACGACATTAACATATTTGACATACATGCAAAAGCACAAAGCACATTAGGATATTTGGAGCTTGAGCTGCTTGTGTCTAAAACACTTGGGAGGGCAAAACCACATCCAGATGTGCAATGTTAATCGTTTAAAAGTAGCTGGCTCATAAATTAGCAGCCACCAGTGACAAATACCAGCAATAATTCTCAGAAATTCACATTGGTGTCATAACCAACATAAGTGCTTGACTTTTTATATCTTTATGTACATTTAAATAATCTAATAAAGCATTTCTGTTCCAGTTCTACTGATGGTAATGTTTTGAAAGGTCAGACCATGCACCTTTCTGACTAATATAACCAATTATAATTTTTTCAACTTGATTATAGCGGACACATTGAGGCTCCCACATTACTTACTTTTTAGTAGCCTTGAAATGTCATTCAAAGGATTATGATCACCGAAATGTCCGTCCATTTTTGTGTAACTTTTATAGCATAAGCCTTCTCATAATTCAATCATCCACCCAACCCTAATGAAGAAAAACGGCCATCTACTTTACATAACAATATAAATGTAAATGTATCTGAGAGGTCATTAAGTCTAATTTCAGTCAGCTTACTCTGTTCAGCGGTTAAAAAAAAGCTTTCTAGTAGGTGGATAAAGACCATTATAGCACTAATAAAACCATAACAGAGTATCATGTATAGGCTTATATGGCTTGATTTTTTATATATTTTACAAGTCTGTTGAACATATATACTTGTGTCTCAGAGCTTTCTTCTGTCCAAACTATATATATGTCAAGTGCAATTTTGTGAACATGTGTCAGATATTTGCTTTAGAGACCAATTGCCAACCAGAAACTGCTGCAATTTGACCTATTATTGTTAGCAGAGGTACATATGAAGCCTTGCTAATGATAACAATGAGGCCCCACTCAACAATTTATCATAGTTTGGTAGTAATCAGCAAAGACAAAACATATTTCTGAGAACAGCTCAACGAAATGTTGCCGCCTTTTCTCAATGGCAGGACACACCCGCTCAAAAGCCCCACCCCACCCACATTCTTTCAAAAGAGTGTAACCTGGTTCTCTCTTCATGACCGTACAGTGTTGCTATCAGCTATGAGGAAACAACTGAAAAAAGATCTGAAACGGGAGTGCCCACCCCTGCATTTCCATGGAGCGTGACATCCTCCGGTAACTTCATTACGGTTTCCAGACGCTAACTTATGCCACTGGGAGCCTTGTTTACTCAAGCACTGTTTGTTCAACACAGAACAAAAGCAAGCAACACACAACAAATCTGGCATCAATAAAAGTCAATGGTTAGCCTTTTCATAATACAATGAAAGCCTTCCTACAAATAGTCGTGCTGAACATGGACTGAAGCATAGAGATCACACAAAACAGCGATAAGATTGAAATCAGTGTGTTTGAACCGTTGGACTTTGAATCATTCGTCTAATCTGAGCAAACCAGACTGAATTCGCATGAGTTCAACAGAAGAGGAGGGGATCCCCGACCTCTCTCATTACAAAAATAGATTCGAGACAAACTCCCATGTTTTGTCTCTCACTCTTTCTACCATCTGTCCTCTATTCTGGGATCCACAGGAAGTCATTTTAATTCACAACAAAAAGCATTTGTAGAACAGGAAAGGCCTAATCTTTCTGAATGTGCCATCACTGTGCTACGCAATGATGAACTGCAAACACACACAGACAGTGTACCAGCAGAAGACTAAACACACAGCAGTTGAGTCTGACAGACCGGTTTGCCATGGAAACTTTATAGTAAACCACTGCTGTTGGCCAGAAGTGCTGTGACATCATGAAGCAGGAATTTAGGTGAAAGCAGGTCAAACCTGTGGCAAATCATTCAGTTGATCTAGCCAGTCCTAGCCTAGATTTCCAGCTCTAATGAAACCTCTCAATCCATTAATGGTTGATTAACAAAATGGTTGCGAAACAAAAGCATCGGAGAGACTGGGCACTTAGATAAGACATACAGTAAGTTATGTTACACAACACAGACCTGAAGTCGACAAACACCTGATACCCAAAATGAATGGAATTGTTTTATAAATCAATTTGCCTAAGGATGTTAAAAATGCTGTGTAGGAGTCCCTCCCTCTGGGATGAATTATTGTTTGCTATTGGTTCCACACCTGGGCCCTGCTTCAATTGATATTGTTTTTTCTCAACCATTATGTGTTCCCTTTCCTCTGACTCTTATACTCTCCCCCTCCTCTCAAAACCTAAGCCTTCTTTAACTAAACTGTAGAGATTAGCGACAGTGGGGAAAAAAAGAACAGCTCAGTAAGTAGTACACAGTTGCTGAAGTAGATGAAGAATCACCTGGGTTGTAAGGGCTAGACATTGTCCCTTTTGTTTTGGCCAGTTTGGGTGCTGGCTGTAACGATGATATTGCATTCCATCGATCCCTTGCCTGCCAATCATAAAAACTCACTGACTTATTAGCCATAATTTCTCATTGAAGAAAATTTCACAAGAACACGTATATAGATATAAAACTTACAAAAATTTGTAAATGACAAATTCTCAGATAAAAATATTTTCTGAAGGCAGAATTGAAAAAAAACAAAAGAAATTCATTATTTGCCCTTTCTATTGCTATAAAATAAGAAGTACAGTAGCCCAGAACACAAACTTTCCTCATCAATTTTAAAAGGAAATGATGTGCTTCATCCTACTTGTAAAAATACTTCAGACACAATATCAAATGAAAAATATCTGGAATGTCATTCCGCATTAGAAACTAAATATATAATAAATATCGATTGCCTCAAGGAAACGAGGTATTTACCAGCTCATTTCAGCTATTGACAGTAACTTCATTAGGCGCTAGGTTAATTTAACCTAGCTCTTCTTTTAAAAGGATATCAGAATTTTGCTCAGCAAAAAAATCCCTTTATATGTCCCACACATGTAAAGTTCAAGGCAGGGCAGGGAAGGATGTGCCATGCAATGTGCTGAGGCTTGCAGCAGTTCACTGCAGTGCTCCACAACAGGAAACCAGAGACCCATTGTGTACTGGGACTGAAACAACAGGTCTGCTGAGAACCAGCTCCTCCACTACCATGGCCCACTGGTGGGGGACATGTGACCAGCCCAGGGGTTGAGGAGCAAAAAAGGCTGGCTCCAGTAGTAGATAAAGACAAGGGGAAAGTAGGAAGGAAAGCATGCGTTTGTACGGGTCATCCATCGCTACACCAAAGCAGTTATTGCTGAGGTGGTTGTGAGAAAGCAGTTTCCTTTTTTTCTCCATGTTATCTCCCATTTTGACAGCGCTGCAGAATGTCAAACACTCAGCAGATCAGCATCCCCACCAGCCTGTCACGAGTTATCAGCTGGTCATTTACCGGCATAGTTCAAAGTGCAACAAGAAAACCTTTTAGGGTGATATTTCAATATCACAGCATTTTATACTACCAGTTCTTGTCAGTATTTGGGAGGAAGGAGAAACAGGCTCATTAGAATGAGGGCCAGTCAATAAATGTAACTAAATCCATTTGACTAGCGTTAAAAAAATACAATTTTTAATGCAGTTAAAAGTTTTCAGACCACAGGCCTTACTTTAAAACAAGCTAAAAAATATTTGTGTGGATCTCATGGGTTCCCACTTACCTGCACATGTTGTAAGAGTGTGGTTGTTTTAATCTACAACTGAAATGAGGTGGCTTAAATTATACATAAACACATTTACTCAGAGGTTTTTATAAATATATTAATCCTAGCCAAACCAGTAAGTAGGGTCCCTGTACACAAAGGCCAAATACTCCCAATTACATAGCTGTTTACCTTTTGCACTACAGATTTCTAACACACATTTTCATCTTTCTGTTTAACATAAATATGTCTGACGTTTGTAGCCAACAAATTACTGCATTGAGTTAGAAACATCTTTGTATGCACAAAGGAAACTGAGCTCATGGTGTAATTATAGTTTTGTATGTGAAAGCAGTGTTAAGCTCACAATCAATGGTTTCCTTCCAGCAATCATCAACAGTGTAGCTTTTTGCTGGCTTAGCTTCTAAAAGTCTGTTTACTAAATATCATCAACAAGTTTTTGCATAAAAGGATAGCTACCACCTTTCCTTAACGTAAAATGCATTTAGGGCCATTCCTAAACATTAAAATAAACTGAGCCATGCAAAGGAGAAATATATATATATATATATATAAAAATTATATTATTATCATTATGGTTTGCATCATAACAGTTTCCCTAACGAGCCCTTATTCAACCAAAACAAGGGATTAAGATTTCACTCAATGTCGAACTGTTCCTTTTTAGCTCTTATCAGAGAAATGTTGTTCACTTGTGTTCTGTTACAAAAAAGTGCTGAACATCGATGCTATAACATAAACATGTCCTAACAATAATCGCCATGAATAGTGAGTTTAACCAAGGTTAAACTCATGACAAACCGTACATTTATAATGCTTTTTGAGCAAATCAACCAACATGTTCAAACATTTTAAATGACACCAGTGCAATTAGATTTATTCAACTCCAGTCAACACTAGACTATATAAATGGATGACATATAAAAATGCCAACATTGCAAGTTGACCGGATGACAGAGACCACATAGTTGCATAGGTTGAGAGTAAGAGAAAGGAAGACACACTAGACAGAGGGAAGAACAAGAGTAACAGTTTTTGCTGACTCTGCATTAGTTTCCTGTAGATCTCGAAAAAATCAACAGCATTTTTAATCTGAACTCAAATAGATTCAACTCATTAAATGCATAATAATGACTGTATTTAGGTATATTGGAACCTACTTTGCTGAGTCTGCATTTGTTAAGAATCACAACAAAGCTCGAACAGAACCGTGTGCTGAAACCAGGAGGGGCTCTCTGACATCATGTGACCACTGTAGTAAAAAGGAGCAGAACCTGCTCCCTCTGGTCTTGAAGAGCATCTAGTTTTAGCCAACAGTCAGAAATAAGTCACAACTAAACAACAACTCAGATAATCTGAAAATGTATTTGAACTTATTTGTTAACTTATTATCATTACTTATATTTTCACTGCTATTTTCCTGAATGATCTGATCAGCTGATGTCTGCTGTGAAACATGCATGAAGCTGCATATGCTGCTCATGCATTAGTGATCGTCGTTCAAGCTCAAGTGGAAGTTGATCAGTCATACAAAATAACGTTATGTACAACTAACGCAATCCGGAAATGTCAACTAAAGTCACAGCCTGGCTACTTACGAAATGAAAATGGATTGTAAACAAAATAACTAATAAAGTGCACTAATTAAAAAAATCTACAAACATGTGTTGTTCTTTGTTCACTCCCACTTCTGTAATCCATGGGCCCCAACAAAAAAGTTAAAAATAATTCCATAATAGCTTGATTTTAATTGTAGGCACAGAAATCCTTTTCACAACTTTGTAAATTTCACCCTCCTTAGAATATCTTGTGGTAAGCCCACATATTAACTCTTCCATTCGTGTCACATTAAGTTACATAAGGATATCACAGAGAGTTCTGCTGCACTCTGCTGTGTAACTTCAGTTATTTCCTCTTCAGCTTTATCATTAAAAGTAAACAAAAGTAACAAAAATTGTAGTATGGACATGAAATATAACAGTTAAGCACCAAACACTGCAGCATCTGTAATTCAATTCAAATTTAAGATCCAGGGTCTTTGTTTCAAACATATCAGCAGCTCAGTCACAGAGTCTTCACCACAGTCAAAGTGACCTCTACTCATACACTTATGTGTTGACTATATTCAACTATCTTAACTAAAGTGTTCTGCAGAGTCTGAGAAGTTTAGAGAAACTGGACTAAATAAAATAAGACCAAAGAAGAAATCAATCTTATGCATGAAGCACAAGGCTTTTTAAGTTTCTATGATAAAAAACAAACACAGGAACAATACAGAGAGAACAACTAATTCAGAAATTAAAGAAATGCATCCTTGATAAAAAGGTGCATCATATTTCCTATTCAAGGTATAGTATTATTCTGTCTGATTTAATACATCTAGAAATCTAGCATTCAAACATATGCTTCCTGCTTCTACAACCTGACCAACAATAAGCTGGCATTGGTTTATAGTACAGGTGTGGCCATTTAAACCGAGATCAAACCATCAAGTAGTTAATGTGCCCTTGCAGGGAAGGCCACATATTAGGAGAAATCCGTGATAGCAACTTTATTGAGGACAAGTGACACTTAGATTCACTGACTGAAGACAAATCAGTACAAAGAGATGTCAGGCTTGGTATTTGATCCTGAACTTGAACAGTCAGTGAGCATGGGGTGATAGAAATTTATCCCACACACCACATGACAATTTCTACAACCAGCCAACGTGACATCTTCCTGGGGTGTAACAAAAAAAAAAAAACTTTCATAGAAAAACGATGCACACATCCGAATACGTTTACTTTAATGGCCCATATAAGTGCATTTCAGCTTGTATGTTCTTTTAGGTTTTGTAAAGAAGACCGTAAAAGTGATAAAATAGTACATTTTATAAATGTAACCGTATTATTTATCATCATCAATGACGGTGAAAATGACTTTCAAACAAAACTGTATGTATACAATAAAGACGAACACTTCTTTTCTCCGAAAGTCAATCAAATTACGTAATATTATAATTTTTACAATATTTACTAAACTCCATTATTTAAATGAACTCGATTTTAGCAAGTCAAGCTTTTATTAATTGAGTATGGAACAAGGGTGGCTAGTCAAAGTGTTAGCCAGGAGGCTAAATGTTAGCTGAGATAAACGTCATCCACCCTGTCAAGCTAGTTAGCATGGGTAGCAAAAGCTAACTTAGCCTGTTAGCAATCACACTCTTGTTTTAAACTCTCTATGGATACAGTGGAACTTTTGATAATAACGACTGGAAGACAAACCTTACGAAACAACTTATCCATTCATTTACTCACATACCTGTAAGTGCTCCTGAAAGCGAATAGGTAGTATCTGAGACATGGCGGTTCCTCTGTCACTCTCCTCCGGTTTCTTCTAATGCTAACAAACTACGGCTGCTTCTCTCACGTCCTAGCCGGACAGCCAGGGAGCCTTTAAATCAAAGTCCAATTATGAACTAAACTAAGCTGTATTTAGAAACTGTTGTCAGCGTGATTGCACTTTTGAAACGGTTCCTTTACTGTTTACTTGAGTTCTACCCCCGGCTAGTTACTGACTGCCACTACACCGACTCTCTGGACCTGCAATGGCGATGGAGGTTGGTCAGCAGAGAAAACATCCCGGAAATGGAAGAGAACTCCGTTTGGCGGATGAATACGTAACCGTACTTCTTTAAAAGTGCATAATGTCTAATTAAATTTTTACTTATTTTGGATCTTCACTTTTTTTATTTTATACATAGCACAAATACTGGACGTATATACACAAATTCATGAGAACAAATGTTAAAGTGGAACTACTTCTTTCTGTTCGCCCTTTGATTTTTGCCACATCATTCGTCTTTGTGAATTAACGTCATCCCTACGCACCACACAGAGGTTGTACACTTGTTCCTCACAGCCAATCAGATGACTCGGAACCGAAGCTGCAAATGAAACTTTTTTCTTTAATTCACCATACGTGTTTAGAGCGTAATGTCAATTGTAATATCATCAAACTTAGTTTTTTTTTTAAAGAGTCAGGAGTTATTTGTACAATCATATAGATTTAATCAAACATTATTTGGACATATCTTGTGAATCCCACATGGGTTCTTTTGTATGCAAACATAGACTACAGCTCCACTTCATAATAATCATTCTTTCTGGCAAAGTTAACATCGTAAAAGCAAGTTTCTTGAATAGTGTTGATGATGCTATTCATTCATTGGTTCGTTCGTTCATTCATTCATTTGTTCGTATTCTTGTTCATTCATTTGCCATTTTATCCTTCTGAATGTCTTGGGGGTCTACAGGTTAAATGCTGACAGCAGGTTGGGAACACCCTGTACAGGCATCCTATGCATAACAGTAGAAAAGCATGGGATACCTAACACAATGCACAAACACATATCAAACTAACAATTAAATTCAGAATCACCCAATTTTCTTTTTTTTCTTTTTTTTCATTTAATTTTTTAAGATGAAAAAATAAATATAAAAAAATATATAAACATAAAAACATAGAAAATACATTTAAAAATGTTCAAAAGAAAAATAGATCAATGAAAATAAAACGGAAATAAAATAAATAAAAATAAACACAATTAGAAAAATAAATCAATAGATGAAATTCATTAAAATAATTAAAAGATTAAAGAATTGAAAAAAATAGAAAAATGAACAAAATGGAAAGAAATAAAAAAAATAAAAAATAAAAAAACTTTTGAAAATGAAAAAAATTAAAGAAATGAATAAATGAGTAAAAAAATCAAAACAAAACCAAATAATAATGAAAAAAATAAAAATAAAAACAAATAAATACAAAATACAAAAAAACTAATCACAAAATTTTCAGCAATATGCATGAAAGCAGAGTTTGGCTGTTCGAACAGAACCATGCAATATTTGGGGTTTGCCTCACAGTATTCATTTCCCTTTTTTACATCCACAATTGGTGGTGGCAGCGGATGTAACCGTATTGCTCAATGTAAAAAATGAATACTGAGACCTTTTGGCAGGGATCTCATTCTGTGGAGCCAGCACTTATGGTATGTGATGAAATAGAGACTTCAGGAAGATGAGTACATGGTATTTGTAACTCCACATTGCAAAGCTCAGGAATAGCGATGCATAAGGGCCTTATACAAACATTTTGATACAAACAGGATATAAAAACATTGAACATTACAACAACTTAAAGAACTTTTGTGTGTCCAAAAGGACTGCCTGATAATACAACAGTAAACCGGGTTATTTGTTTTTTAACATTATTCTGTGTAAGTACCTGATGAACAATTACAGTTCAAACAAGTAGTATTGTTGGATGAAAGATCTGACTCATTCAGGGCATAAGATAATCAATTCACTTAAAAGAGTGACCTTCGGGGCTCTCTACACAGATGGCACACTGACCAGCTGTGTCTTGACGTGGTTTCAGCTTTCATGCAAAAAGGAGAGTGGTGGTCATTTTGCAGCTTCTGCTCTGGTCTTTTTATTCAACAGGACACCCCATCTGCACACACTGCAGCTCAGTGAAGAGTGAGGTGACATCAAAAGAATAGCAGCCATGCTCATATTTCAAATAAGGGAAACACAGGAATGAAGGTTGCAATAAATGAATTCTCTTTTTTACAGATTTTTGACCGCTAGTACACTTGAGTGCTTTGGCATGGATTTGAGCACAGATGGGAACTGTGTCTTCCTGTAGCTGTATCAGGGATGACTGAGTGGGACTGACAGTGATTCAGAGCCAGGATTAAAAAGCTCCAGCGGGGCCTTTGCTTTCTCTGTTTTCTTCCATTGCCCTCTTCTCATTTTATGTCCTTCTGCTTTCCTCAATGGAAGCAGAAGTTTGAGGAAAGAATACATTCTCTATCTTTTACTTGTGTTTATAATTAATCAGGATCCCATTAATTTCTCCTTTGCCACATGAGAATGATGATAATATATTTAGGTTTTAAAGCATGCACGTTTTCACAAATGCTCTCAACATGCTACATTCTGTTTCTTTTTTTTTTACAAGTCACATGTAGTATACAGCATAACCTTTGAACTCTTGGTCAAGGGAAGTTACTAATTGACTCTGTGTGGGCCTTTGCACCTCTGAAGGACAGTTTGGCTCTGGTTACAAAAGTTGGCCTGAGGAAGGCCAAACATGCTCTCATAATTTTGTCGTTAAATCTAAAATGTGTGCTGCTCACAGAAAGGCATAAAAAACCTGGAATTGTGCTGAACAAGGAGGAACTTACCACATTTCTTGTTTTTTTTTCCACAAAAAATGTTTTGTAATTATTCACTGATATCACGTTTACTTTCAAATAAATTCCATGTATCTGACACATGACAACATTGCCATCTAGTGGACTGATGTTTCAATTAGAGTTTTAACAACTTTCAAACTGGAATGCATTTTTAATCGGGCAAAGATTCTTGAAAATGTTAAAATCACATTTTCAAATTTGTCCTTTAGTCATTCATTTGAAGTGAAATTCAATGTTTAAGGCACTTCTGTCCAGTCACATAATCAAACAACATAATAATTGATACATTTTGGAGGGAAATCCTAAATGATACCAAGCAAAGCATGACCCTCTTTTAACAAACCTCATAATAATATCCCATCTATCCCACAACGTAGTCAAGCTGCTACACCACTGACTAAGCCTTAGATATAAGCCTCGCCATGTTTATTACTTTGCATGCAAACACATGCAAACAGCATTTACCGATACAAGGATCTGAAACACTGAGTTTGTTGTACAGTAGGTGATATAACTAGTCTGCTCCTGGAGAAGCTTGTCTATCCTGGTGCAGAGCAAGCCTTTCCTTATATCTTAAACAATGTATCCTCAGCAAAACTTTTACCTAATGTGTGCATTGGACAGCTCCAAATCACATGAAATGGCATGTAATGAGAACTTACAGGTCTTTTTAAACACAAGAATGAATGATTTACAGTGGGTGAAAGGATTAAACTGAATCAATATCAAGTACTAGAAAAAAAAACAAAAAGGTTTAATAATCGGAAATTCATTTTGGTAACATTTTTCAACAGTAAAATGATTAATCTCATTCGATAAACTTTCCTGAGTTGATCTTTCTAAAAACAAGATGCCTTCTCAGTAACAAAACCTCATATTTGTTCCTAATAAAAGTTACATTTCCTTGAACAGCTTCATTAAGTTGTATCAAAACATTTCTCAATGTGTGGGAGGAAATCTGAACACGGTGATGAAAGGGCAAGAAATATACGTGTGTGGAGGAGATGGTGTTCTGAAAGTGTCTTTTTTGTCTTCATTGTCAGTCAAACTGAGAGAGTTTGGAACGCCTCTCAGATACAAAGCAGTACCAAATAGTACATTGGAGATTATGATTGAAAAAGTTAGATATTGCCCACAATGTCCAGTTGTATTTACTTCCATGCTGTATAAATACTTTAAATCTGTTTTCATATTCAGAGCATCTGGTTAGAATAATCTCCTGAAAATCCCTAAAACCCACAAACCCCAAAGCTGAGTTTCAGATGACCTTGGGAAAGCTGATTTTCAAATATATTTTGTTTTTTCCCAAAAAAATGTTTCAGTATTAGTTGTATCTATCAGACAGTTGGTGGACAGGAAAAAGGGGGCACACATGGAGCAAAGGGCCTCAGGATGGGGCTTGAAATCTGGGCCAGCTCCATCAAAGAACCATGGTCTCTGTACATGCAACGCCTCATTAACCAGTTGAGCTGTCTGGTGCCCCATTTTACCTCCTTTTATACTTTCAGTCCTGTTGTTTGGTGCACTTACGGCATAATTTTTTGTTGGTTAGAGTTATGCTCTGCTTTTTCAGGTTAAAAAAATGTTGTTAGGCTTAAAGCAACCACCCTGCTAAAACTGACTTGACAGGTTTAAATGCTGTGCAGTGTGAAGCCATCCACATTCATTTATTTTCCATGATTACACTCAATAAAACGTGTTTTTCCATTATTTGATCACATGTCTTTGTAGCTTATCAAGGTCTGGCCTTGACCTTATGGAAAATCCAAAGAGTTTTGTTTATTGCTCCTTTCATACAATGATAAACAGACAACAGACCTTTTTCATTAGTGCGTCATATCAAAACAGGTGAGAAGAATCTTGTTCAGCCTTTGTGCATTCAGTATACAGAGCAATGCAACACAGACATCACGAATAGATATTTTCGCTTAAAATATCTCTCGAAAGATTAAACATTAACCATGGAGTCCCTCATGGGGAGGAGTCTTTACGCCTACAGCACTCCCACAATGCCATCCCTCTGTGTGGTTTGCGGATCTGATGGGAGAGAAACACAACATGAGCTCAAGTGAAGGTGAGACATTCCAAGATTTCTGTAATTTTGTGAGTTTTTCAGGCATATAATAAGTAACACCCATTTCTTTTTAATCAGTTTGTTTAGTCACATTTGAATTAATTTAGTACTCTTTCTATCTTTTCTGTATATTTCAGCGGCTATCACTGCTGCACTGTTAGACTAATAAAACTTGAATGAAGCTAACTAAACATTGAGTTCAAGTGAACCTGAGAAGATTCAATGATGTTAAAAAGGTTGAAACATAATGAAACCATCCTATGTTTAGCAGACAAATGTGCATGGTAGAAATGGTTGGATACAGTTTAGCAGAGTCAGCTTAGCGGTCCGTGGCATTCTGTTCTTACTTGTATCTCAAGAAGAACTGTGTCATAGAGGATTAAAAAGAAGGTTTATGGGGGGAAAAGCAAACAGTGACCCATTAGCTCTTCAGAGGTGCCTTTAGAGAGTAGCATGTACTGTGAGAGTGGGATTTGTGCTAAAAGCAAGTGTTTTTAGGCATTGCCCTGATCACTCAACACTTGTCATAACAGTTATGTTTTTTATTACTTCTCTGTGCCAGTGAAGCAAGGACTTTGTCAGTGACATGTTGGACTGCACAGATAAGACGTTTTACAGATTAGAAGACAGTAAGGGCCCAGTGTGACAAATAAAAACATTTTCATATCTCCTAATTGCACCTGTGAGTGGGTGGGAAGCTGGCCCTTGGTTTTTCCAAACAGCGATAACATCATGGCAGAAAAAACGGCTTCAATCTGAACAAAAAAGCTATTTGGAAAATTGAGTGAAAGCAGTTTAATTTCAAATGAAGATCACTAACTAACATTATGCTACAGAAAGTGTTATCATCAGGCATGGGGTATCAAAAAATATAATCTATGGTGCTCAGCAGCATGTCTGTAATATTGCATTGTTGAAAAAAGTACACATGGTGTCAGGACAAAATGATTTGAAAGGTGTTTATAATATACATTAACAGGTTCATCTTTGTATACCTCTGTTTCTAAGGAATAGCATTGATTTAACTTTCATTTGATGGCATTCTTTTAATTTCTCTGAGGTTAAGAATATACAGAATTAAAGACACAGTTCAGATTATCTCACTCTGTTAGTTGTGGCCTAATGTCTGATGTAGATACCACAGCATTGGGTAATTCCAGTAGTTCCACTCCCTGCTGTAAAGTTTTTGCAACAGTTTATACACTTTCTGCCAAAACATTTCCCGTATAACTCTCAAGTGTTATCTACTTTAAAACTTGGCATGGAATAGACGAATCATGAAATGATAACGTTTCATGAATCAGAAAACAAAAACAAGAATAGAGAAAATAAATGTAACCAGTTGATTAGTTAATGTACTCAGGTCTTTTATAAGTAAAAGTAACCAAAAAAACATACATTATTGGCTTTACACTGAAATTGTCCTGAAATATTGAAAAGATTTGTTTGCATCAATTTTGCCCATCGCAGTGCCCGATGGTTCAGATGTGTAACAGTGGATAAACTCTTAAACCAGACTTAGAAACTCATTGGTATTTTTAAAAAAAAATCCATCTTGCTCAGATAATAACTTTAGGGGTTCTTGTGTTTTGTTATTCATCACCTGTTTGAAGGGAGCAAAGACTAAAGATAATCAAAGAAAGTCATAGCCTGTTTTATGGTGTCTCAGCCGATACTCAGCAGACATGTCACCAAACGCCCTGATAGCTCTTTGGTTGAGATGAAGCATCACAGTTAAGCATACAGAACAGGACCTGTTTGTTCCAATTAATATCCCATTCTGTGGAAGTTATCAGTCACGTGAGCTCAGTGCTCGAAATTGTTTTATATACAAATTAATTTACAATGGAAACTGAATTTCAGTTACAAGAATGTGCCCACATGTGTTGATAGGGATTTTCATGATGAGAATTTTACAATGCCTAAGTAATTCACCTCTTGTTTTATATCTTTTCATGGTGGAAGTCATCGGCCTGACAGAGTAAGTAAGTGCTCATGTATTTTGATGTATTTTTATGGCTCAGCTCATTTTCACATGGCTTTTATTCAAAACAGGATCAGGCAGGCAACCTTTAGCTTTCTGACACAATCAAAACTGTTTCCTGAAAATGTCCCATTAATGTGTCTGTCAAGATGGAGTTTAAATATTCTGAATTAAACTTGCATGTACACACATAATACAGTTATTTCCCATGATGTTATGCATCTTTGATAAAGTTAGATCAACTTCTAATTGATGCAAATGATTCATTCATTCAATATGTTTTGTTTTGTACAAACATAAAAACTATGTAGCACTGAAGGTAAATGTTCATTCTTTCTTAAAGAGAAAGGAAAATCTGGCTTACTGCTTTCACTTTATCATTTGCTTTTCTATTTTCTAGTGTCAGTCAAATGCTTTTGATCTTTCCTCTTTCAGGAAATTTACATTTAATCCAAAGGAGGGAATAGACAACCCGGTGATGGTTATTACAGACACTGCAGGTATGGTGTGTGACTTTTTTACCAATGAATGTGTCATAGGGAAAGTTTGCTAAATTGGACAATGCTTTTCCTGCTTCTTTGATTCAGACTCTACACCCAGGCCACACCTGTGTGTTCTTAAACGAGAGGAAGGGGAGAGCTACGGCTTTAACCTGCGGGTGGAGACGGACTGCCATGGACATGTGATCAGAAACGTGGTGTCCGGGGGGATAGCAGAACGAAGCGGCCTTCAAGATGGTGACAGACTTCTTGAGGTCAACAACTACTATGTCGATGACGTTTCTCACACAGAGGTAAGAAGAGATTCATTCAGTGTAACTCCTGACAATGCATGTGGTTTTAATGATATCTACTATGTTTCCAAACGTGTGAATCAGGTGGCTAGGAAGATTAAGCTCAGTGGCCACCAGTTATGCTTGCTGGTGCTGAATGGGGAGCAGTATGAGCGGGCTTTGTCTCAGGGACAGGATCTCCGAGGTCTGGCCAGAGCCTACAAAGAGGAAGGTTGCAAACCACCCAGACTTTGCCACGTCACAAGGGATTCTGTCTCAGGTCTGGGCATCAGCTTCACACCTTTGGAAGGTAATGTATATCCTTACAATTGCATTAGCTCTGAGGTTTATTTAGTTGGTTTTGCTGCTTGAATTTAGTCCAGAAGTCCTCAGATGTTCCTTCTTTGTCTGTTCTTAAGGAGAGAAAGGACGCTTCTCAGTGAGCCTGGTGGCAGGAGGTGCTGCGGAAAAAGCAGGGGTGTGTAGGGGAGATCGCCTGGTGTGGATGAATGGAGCAATGGTGTCCCATCTCACACACTCTGCACTCAGCAGAATGGTTTGTATTTTCATATTCGGTGTCTCTGCTGCGCAAAGAATGGATGCGATGTTAAAAGAAAAGCTGGGATGAAATAAAAAAGATAAGATATTCTTGACTGAAAAATGTGTGACTATGAAAATTTATGCTCTGTTGAAGATGAAAAAATGTGGCAATCACATCACCATCCTCGTGATAGACAGTGAGAGTGAGAACATCTATTTGCAAAAAAGGATCCCCATCCTGCCTGCCATGGCTGTTCCTCACAATATGCCTTTTAGAGCCAGAAGACTGCAACTTGTGTCCGGGCCTGAGGGCTACGGCTTTCTCCTTCGTCTTGAAAAGACACCATCTGGGCGCACATGTGAGGACACTGAAGAACTGCACAAACTCAAAGAGAAACATTCTTTATTTTAGTCTCTGATTGACAATTGTTGCATTTGAACCAATAGATCATGTTCTGCGTGAGATTGACAGAGACAGTCCAGCTGAGAGAGCTGGTATGCAGGATGGAGCGATCCTGCTTGAGGTCAATGGGGAGTCAGTGGAGTCACTGAGGCACGACGAGATCGTGGAAAGAGTGAGACTAAGTGGACAACAGGTCTCGCTCACCGCCATCACTGCCTCGGGGCTGGAGTTTTACACCCAGGTAGACCAAGACTCAGTCTTTTATGACTATTTCAAAATACCTTTTCTTTAAATAACACATTGAAAATGGTTTCCTTTCTTTGTTTTCTGAATTCAGCTTGGTCTATCTCCTCTTCTGTTTTGTGATGATGACACTGCTGAGAAAGAAAAGCAGCACAATTTGCCAGCCTCAGAAGAAGTTCAGTCATCATCAGAGAGTGATTTGTGCCGTCCAAGACTCTGTGCTTTTCAAAAAGGCCCTTTGGGGTTTGGTTTCAACCTGAGCTGTGACCCGCAGAGTCCTGGAGCTTTCATTAGAAAGGTAGTGATGAAAACACATAGAGAGTGAGGTATGCATTTAACTTTTTGCCCGATGTGTCGGTGTTTCTTACATTTTTATTTTTTATATTTTCCATTCTTGTAGGTGGCTTTTGGTGGTCCCGGGCAGATTGCTGGATTAACTGTGGGGGATGCAGTTATTGAAGTCAATGGAAAAAATGTGGAGCAGAAATATCTGGAGGAAATCATCATGCTTGTGAACAAGGGAGGAGATTCTGTTTCTTTACTACTCATGGATAAGACAAAATATAACAAAATGAAGATGATTGACACACCAACTACAGATGTCACAGAGAGAGAGGTGAAGGAAGTCTTAAACATTGTTTTTGTGAATATTTAATAGATATTAAACTATGATATATAAATACATTGATTTTCTCCACATTTTCTTGTTTGTATTTCAGCAGGAAGAAGATGGCAACTATGAAATTTCAGTTTTGTGAAAAGCAATGATGCTGAATCCAGAAGAAGCTCCCTAGCACCATATGACTACTGAGTAGATTTAAAACTGATCCAAACAAGCTAAAGAAAAAACTATATAAAGGTTATAGTAATGAAATACCAGGTGATCAGAGGGAATCCAGACAATGAGTTTAAAACATACACAATTTCTGTTATTTAAGCTATGCAGTGCGATTGTGATAACCTGATAATGTCATTTTGGTCAGTATTACTGTATATGCTAAGAGTCGTTTGCAATAATTACAGCACTTCACTTCAACTCAAATAGATAATGCAGCAACTAAGGAAATGGAAAATGTTCAGCTATCTAAACTGCAATATTCTCTCAAAAGCTAATAGAAGAAACTACAATTGTTTTTTGGATGAAAAAACATTTTATTACAATGTCCTGTAATATGTTGAAAATGATCCAAACCAAAAGAAAATCATGAATTGTTATTTGTGGTAGAAGTTGTAGATGGATGATGTATGAAATATAATGTGGCTTTAAATTATTTTTGTCATCCATTGTATAAAATATTAAGTCTTAAGTGTGCAATACATAGAAGAAGAACAGAGAAAATAAAGCTTTATAAGAGCACAAACTGATGATTTTGGATGATAATGAGAAGAGTGATGAGCACTGTAATGTCAACAGCTTTCTAAAATGTGACAAAACACAACCCAAACTTTTCTGTCTGTCTTACCAAACCTATTATGTAACTGACATCCAATAAAAAGTACTCTTAGCGCCATTTCAGCTGATTGTCCACATGCAACTGGAAGAATTTGAGGGGAAGATCCTGGAGTGCCAGCATCTTAAATAAATCCCTAAAATGTAAACAACCTGTCAAAAAGCTGTCTTGAGAATGAAAAAGAACATGCTAAATAATTTGCCAAAAATATAATAATTAGAGTGTGACATGTGTGTTGTAAAACAGTTTGAATCATTAAGAAAATAAGCTAATTTTGTGTTTTTAAAACCTCTCAAATTGTTGCTACTGTTTTTGTAAGTTCATCTCTGGTATTTAGTAAAGGAGGGCTTAACCCAATGGATCTAGTCTACTTGTAGGGAAGTCATTCAACCAGTGAAGAACAGGCACTCTTCTCCATTTATCTTCTTTTTTTTAAAAATCTGTTCTTTGAATCCTTGTGTGCCCTCCTGGGGTCATTCATACCCCAGATTCAGTAAAACTGATGTATGAAGGACCCCAGGTGGGCACACAGTTGTTAAACTCATTAAACCTCACAGGAAATAGGGAAAGTTCCAAAGAGCAGACTTTGCCCTGCAGAGATGTTCTTGCAGATCCATATGTGGTAAATGTTTGATGAGAGCAGTTGCATACCATAACTAGTAATACTTTCTACCACATAAGCAGCACGTTGATCTGTCCCAAAATCAATAATTATAACTGCCGCTTCCCATGAACCTTTAGGACAGGACAAGAATGTCACACTGAGACAGGGAAAACTTGTGAACGTCGCACAGATTCCACCACATCATTCTTACCATAACCACAAAACCATCATGCAAGGAAAACTTGTGAACGTCGCACAGATTCGCACAGATTCCACCACATCATTCTTACCATAACCACAAAACCACCATGCCGCCTCGGGAATAATTTTAAGCCCTGTGAACTGATAGAAAAAAGTTTTTACTCTGCAGTTCAGTTTTCATACAATTTCATGTTTATAAAAGACAACTCTATTAAAAATAAAATTCTTATCTCACAGAAAAAAATCATGATGAGACTTTTTTCAGCGTCACCTTTTATATGTATGTTTTACTTTTATTGTTGTTTTTTTATTTGTTCATTGTCATGGATTTTTATTCTAATCGAATTTGACAACTTTTTTCTTATTTTCAAATTGCCAGTACACTACAGGGCAGATACTGGCGGTAATGAATTTTTAATGCAGTTTGCCGACCATTAAACAACAGCGTAGAACAAGAAAAAATTTGGATTTCTGTTTCTGTTCAGGCATTTGTGCGGGCAGACCTTGCTGCCGCACATCACGTTTCACCCCGTATTTCAACAGGAAATGTGCAATTTCAGCGATTTTGACAATTAAAATGATCGCAATTAGTCATACATAAAGATCGGCGGACAAATAATAATATGTCATCGTATGTTTTGTCTTGTGAGGATGACCGCACGTCCCATAAATATATATACACAGCTATATAATTGCAGTCTCTGTGGCTGTGCAAGTTGAAAACCTTGGGAAAGAAACATTTTTCTCAGATTATTACGTACGTTGGCACTCGGCATGCCCTACCGGTAGCCCCCTACCGGACCCCGGCACCGGTAGCCCGGTGCCCCGGTAGCTCCGTGCCGCCGCCCGCCGCCCCCCCCCCCTAAATCTTTAAGATATTTGGTTGAATCTGCCTTAGTTTAGATTCTCATTGGTTTGTTTTTAGTCATGTGACTTGTTTTTAGTCATGTGACAAAAACAAGGAAGTGGGCGGGCTACCGCGATACCGCGGTAAAAGACGAAAAACGGAAAACCGGGAATACCGGGAAAACCGGGGAATATCAGGGAAAACGGCCACCGGGGGAGGGGGGCCGGGGCTCCCCAGAGGGGAGACCCGGACCCCCGACCCCGGTTCGATATCACTGTCAGAGTAGACCCGCACCGAACCCCGGTATCGCGGGAGCCCTAGGACGCAGTAGCCCGGTAGCCCCCCCTCCGGCCCCGGTAGCCCGGTTGCCCGGTAGCGCGGTTGCCCGGTAGCCCCCCCTCCGGCTCCTTACCTTGTTCGTGCGTTGCAGTGAGAGTCCGCCATCTTGCCATTTGAGCTAATTTAAATCACTCTGGAATTTGGAAAAAAAAAAAAAACAGGGGTTTTCAAAACATTTAGGGAAACTCCAGATGGGAAAACAAGTAAAAGTTGCAAAATGACATTTAGTCTTTCAAATCTTCATTTTAAACTGTAAACAAGGAAAAAAGTACAAGTAGCTTATAGCTGTACTTATACTATAGAATGAATATGACTGTTTTAAAAATATAAAGTAAAATTTAGGGGGACATTACATACATACATACATACATACATACATACATACATACATACATACATACATACATACATACATACATACAGACAGACAGACAGACAGACAGACAGACAGACAGACAGACAGACA